TATATATATACACAATCGTCTCACAAAGAAGGAAGAATGACATATATATATATATATATATATATATATATATATATATATATATAAATTTATATACATATTAATTAATTTTGAAAAGGTTTAGCTGCGAGACACACACGGAAAGTGCAATTCACACAGAAGCCACACCACAATCATAAGAGGAATACTAAATATGAGTTTAAATATAAATATCCTAATGCCGTGTTCTTAACCATGTAAGAAATCTTCCGTGTTCAAAGATTCAAATGCGTGCAATACGAATCAACTCGATGAATACACCTTATCGATTTAAAGATTTAAGTACGGAAAAAGAAAATGAAGATAAACGCCTTGAGATAACACGTGTTTTAGAACAGTGAAAATTTGATTAAATTGTCCACTTTTTATTTGTTAACAGGAACTCGGCTGAACTCTTTCACAACTTCAATAATAATTTGATGCTACTATTCCTCTTTAAGAAATTACTATTTACATTGTTACTGCATTGCTGTGCCTGTTAATTATGTTTTGGAATATTTCAATTAACAATGTATGTACTATACTACCCACCATTGACTGTAAAACGTACTTGAGAATTTACTTTGTATTATATAGTTATAGAATATGAATAGACTTGTTAGTCTTTCTTGTTAGGGCTGTGTGGATCTGTGTAATGGTTACCATTAACCTAACAAAAATTTATTTTTAAACGCATTATCATTGGTATACATATGAATTAAATTTAATATTTTACATTAAAATTTAATTTGTAGAAATGTTATTTTTCGTTATTTATCAATGGAATTAACTCCATCCTCAACTATAACATATCATGTGTTATATACTCTCGTGTTTGAGTATATCCTTTGTTCAGGTTTTGTTCAAAACAAGAGCTTCAAGCAACTTTACTACTTTTAACTAATAAAAGGAATTTGCCAAAAAACATTACTAAACTGCTGCCTACTTAAGTTGTGGGGTACTCATTCGAAATCTGGATACACAAGCAAAGCTATCCAGTGGATCAGAGTGGTACAGCGTCCATTGTGTTTAAACTTCACATATTAGTTAAGCTTTCACAAATCGCACTGGACACACGTGGCAATGTATGGTCCAGGTTAAGACGACTACCTGTCTCTTAAACTCAATGATGTCACCATCCGCAAGGGGATTTGGTTTCTTTTATCAACTTCCTTTAAACATGTATACGTCGTAATTAACACCAAATTAACACAAGTCCCCTTTCCAATAGCAATGTTAACTTTAATCCTGAAACATATCTATCTTGCTGTATAACGCATCAAACACCTGTGTAACGCAGCTCGCTATAAGGAGAAGGATAGAGTACATCATTTGTCGATAAAGTTCTTGTTCTCTTATCCAAAGATGATCAATTGCCATGCGAAAATATGCATACACAAAAAAATAGACTATATAAATTACGTCATAGCTTACAGCAAATGTACGCTCCAACCCAATGGCAGGAAAAACAAACAATCAAAACTCACAGAGCAGAATAAAAAAACACAATATTCGTTGCGAAATAATTACTAGTGAATTCCACTCTCCACAATAGTAGCAAATCACATATCTAACTTTAAAAATTCATTAGAAAATAACAAATATTGAATAAAAAATTAACAACATGTTTAGTTTTGTGTTAATATTTAAAGATACATTCTTTTAAGACTGAATTCAGGTGTATTTTTCGGAATGCATTGTATAACTCTCCTGTTTAACTTTTAATTTTTCAACACTCCATTTAAGATATGAATATAAAGATGTCGTAATGTTTCTGAAGTATTTATTTGTCAATCAACAATCTAAACTACAGTTAGTTCGTCAGTCGAAATCAACTATGCCGACCTTAATCATCGTATAAGCTCATTGCGAACCTTGATGGGGGTACGTAGATTCCTGATGAGACTGATACCGGCACGAAATGTTCTTGTGCGGCAAGTGCAGGGGATTGATGGGACATCTCCAGGTGCAAAGTTAACCCTTTATTTTTTGGCTTGTCTTTTTTTTTTTTTTGCATAGCAACCGATTTTCTATTGGCTTCACGATGTGTAGAAACTTGTTGTACGACCACCGGACCTTGGCTGTGTCTTCCCCCTGTGCCCGTGTCTGTATCGAACGCTTTCAGTGAGGCTTTAAGAGTGTTTTTTTTTAAACTTTCTTTTGACCACCAGCAAACCACCTTTCATGATCGAGCTAATCATAGGACATTCTTTTGGGCAAGCGGCCGTCTGATATTTGCACGACATTTCCACCCTACCCTACCCCCAAACGCAGCTAAGACTGCATTAAAGTCGTAAAGATGCTGGGGAGACCTGCCTGTGCGTGTAGCTCAGTGTCTAGGACCTTGTCCTGCCATTTGATGCTTATGATTTTTCGGAGACTTGTCACGTTAAAGTGATTCAACATTTTCGGATGACGTGGGTAGACCGCTGAATTTTCACAGCCATAGAAAAGCACAGCACCCTTGTTTACCTTCATTTTAGTTTGAGTGCTGATACCTTGCCTGGTCCATACATTCTTAGACAATTAGCCATAAGTTGCAAAGATACCTCGCCTGGTCCATATATTATTAGACAGTTTGCCATAGGTTGCCATGGCTTTTGCAATACGAATGTTGACCTCGTCGTTGATGGTAGTGCTTTAAAACAGTGAACTGTTACGGTATGAGAAACTATTTTAACCCGTTGAGCCTCTCACCACTTAGTTGAACATTAGGCTCAACCTAAGTACTTCAATGAGGTTGTTGATAAGGGACCTGAATATTTTTTGTGTTAATGGTGAGACGTAAGTTTGTGCAGATATTGAAGAAATTAGTAACACTACTTTGGATGGCACAATCATCGACATATAGAATATACTTGATGATGTCTGCCAGGACCTTGGATTCGACATGTAACCTCTTGAGATTGAATAGCATATCATCAGTTCGGTATTTGAGACCATTTCCAACATCTCTATCTCTGAAGGCACCAGTCAGCATGGAGGAAAATAATAAACTGAAAAGTGTTGTACCGAGACAAACTAATGGGTTATCACAGACAGAAACAGTGCGGACACATTAACAGAAGACCACAAAATAGTAATTACAAGTTAAAATAACTTTACGATAACATTTAGCGTGTGCTATTATAACCACGACCTGACCAGGCCAGGGATAAGGGCGGCTGTTCAACCTACAAGCGGGCGAATGAGATCACCGTTTACCTTTAACAATGTCATGGTTGCTGCGCTAAAATAAAACCCAAGGGAAGTAAGGTCTTATAAAAAATAGAATTTATAATTTTAATAACAAAATAATTCATAAATTTAGATAATTGTTCTTAATTTTAAATTGTCGTGTTTTAAGAAAACATTTTATTGACATAAAAAGCATAAAGCGAAAATATCCTTATTTTATAAGTAAATATTAAATTTTAAAAAATATCTAAATTGAATTTAAATGTTAAAAGCTTTTATTTTTTATGGTTTTTGTACACAATAAATATTTGTTATCCAAACGGCAAATGATTATTATTGTTAATTTATTTTTTTAGACTTCTTCAATGTTTAGAATTGACGTTGGCCGTGCCGTGTATTTTTTTGTATGTTGTTGCTTTTAAAAACTGGACAAACCCCGTTTTAACAAAATATATATCAAGAGTGACTTATCCCTTATCCGCATAGTTATTTCTATTGTTTGGACATTTAACACCGGGTAAACCCATTATCTTCTAAGCAAATACAAATATCTTCTTTATAGATTTTATATTTCTAAGGACAAACAATTATAAATGTGGATCGCTATAATATTTTGTTAGAGTTAATTCTAAAATAAATATTTGTTTCTGTTCACACACTTCAAAGATGGCTGAGTGTTCAACTTTGCATAAAGTGAAAGATAAAGTTTTATTGTTGGTTGGACGAACGGGTAGTGGTAAAAGTTCTACAGCCAATTCCATCATTGGAGAAACATTCTTTGGTAGGAAAAAAGATGACTTTAGTATCCAGAAAAATACAGTGGAGATTGAAGGTTCAAAGGTCACAGTAGTAGATGGTACTGGTATTGGGGACACTGGATCTGATATGAATGGAGATATACAAGGCATAATACAAAAAACTGAGACTGCCGTCCAACTCTGTGAGTCTGGTTTCAATGCTCTCATCTTTGTTATGACTTACGTTAAAAAAAGGTTTGCCAAAAAGGAGAAAGACGCTGTAGATCTGATCAAGTCATTGTTTGGTAGGGACATCTTCAGACGTTTTGGTGTCATCGTCATGACACGTGGTGACCAGTTTGAGATGGACACAGAGGATGACCCCAAGACATTTTACCAGTGGTGCAAGGAAAAAACTGGACACATCAATTTTTTTTTCCAAGAATGTGAATACAGAATTTTGATCTTTAATAACAGATCGTCCAACAAGGACACACTTTTTAGACAACGACGCAATCTACTGGACCTTATTAATGAAACTAGAAAATACTCAACTGCAGACTTCAAACCGGCCAGTAGTGACCAAATGGAACTTTTAATATCTGATAACTTCATAGACGCTGAAAAACAAAACCAGATGTTTATTCGACGTATTGACCAAACATTAGATCGAACTGAATCTACGAAAGATGGCGAGAAAATCAATGAGATGTTATCCGACTTACTTACAGAATTAGAAGAACGGATAAAAAACATAGAAGGATATTTTGGAGGATCCGAACTTAGCCATTTACTGTTGATACCATTAAAGACAAGAGTTGTTAATGTTACTTCAAAGATGCGAAAATTGAATCAAATACGACATGAGACACCAATCGATAAAGCTGCTAAAAAGCAGTCAGCCGAAACTGGTTATGATAAAAAAACTAAGCGCGGAAAATTCTTTGAGAAAAAAGGGGAAAACCCCGTTGATGAGAAAATACAAGATACCACAAACACATATGATTATTTCTCGACTCTGAACCCACAGGAAAAGATACATTCTGTTGTCAAGCATACGGTTTTGTTGTTGGTTGGACGTACAGGAAATGGAAAAAGTTCAACCGCCAATTCTCTCATCGATGAAAGATTCTTTGCCACAGGAAGTAATGACCATAGTGTAAAGAAAATGACCGTTGAAATTGATGGGTTAAACGTCACGGTGGTCGATGGAACAGGTATTGGTGACACAGGATCGGATATGAATGGAGGTCTACAAGACACAATACAAAAAGCTGAGACTGCTGTCCAACTCTGTGAGTCTGGTTTCAATGCTCTCATTTTTGTTATGGCTTACGGCACAAGGTTCACAAAAAAGGAGAAGGACTCTGTGGATCTGATCAAGTCATTGTTTGGTAGGGACATCTTCAGACGTTTTGGTATCATCGTCATGACACGTGGTGACCAGTTTGAGACGGACACAGAGGATGACCACAAGACATTTGACCAGTGGTGCATGGAACAAACTGGAGACATTAGAAGTCTTTTCCAAGAGTGTGACTACAGAATTGTGATCTTCAATAACATAATGCCCAACCTTGATACACTTTTTAAACAACAACAAAATTTACTAAAAATGGTTCCTCATTCCAATAAATACTCACTAGAAGACTTTAATCAGGCCAGCAAGGAACGTCAGAAAATATTACTAGGTCATTCCTTTTTAGAAGCTGACAAACAAAACAAATCTTTTCTTCAAGACATCGACCAACAAATATTTCATGCTACGTCCACGAAAGAAAGCAAGCAACGTCGTAAGATGCTAGCAAATATTTTGTCAGATTTACAACAACAAATTGAATCAATTCAAAAAACATTTGAAGGGTCAGAGTATTACAGTTCACTTTGGACACCTTTACAGACAAGACTTCTCAACGTCATGACTCAGCTGCGGGATATAGAAGGTAGAAGGGGGGAGGGGGATCAAGTTTTACGAAAATTATTACTTTATTTAATATTCAACTTTCTAATATTAATACATGTTGTCTTATAATTTTTAAAAAAGAAGAGAAAAAAGAAGAAAAACGACGATTCTAATTAAACAAATAAGATTGTTTAAAAACACAATTGTATCTGTACTTCCTAAAATACAAAATTGATTCTTGGTAAAGGTAAGATTAATTTTTTTTAATGATGTAAATTTCATTAAGAATCATATATCCAATATTTCTTGCGAACATTAAATTGCTGGATTTGAATAATTAAATATAGATAACTTTTAAAAAGTCCGTTAAAACCCATCTATTAAGGTCCGCCTATGACCTGTGATGCACCCTCCTTGCCCTGCCTTATTTTCTGTTTCGGGTTGATCCTGAAGTATAGGCCAAAACGTACCAAAGTGTCCTCGTCTTATAGCCATTTTCATTGTTTCTATAGTATAGTAGTTACTATCCTAGTGTCTCATTTTTTATTTTACTTAGTTTACATGTTTTTAATAATTGTAAAGCGCTTAGAGCTTTAAGGTAAGCGCTATATAAAAAATGCATAAATAGATAAATAAATAACTAATTATAAACTATATTACTTAATTTAAAAAAAAATATTATAAACATTTTAAACTTATTGATCCATTTTGTTGACTTCAATTTTTTTAAAATTAAATTGATTTAATTTATTTGAAAACTATTTTAAAACGTTTAAAGCAATTGTTTATATAAATATTTTTTTTGTACATCCAGATGGCCTCGTCAAAAATTACGCTTTCCTACTCGTTGGTAGATCAGGAAATGGGAAAAGTTCTACAGGAAACTCAATCTTTGGGAAAATTGTTTTCATAACAAGAAAACCACACGATTCTTCTGATGGTGACGTCCTATGTTCCCACTCAGCTATAGTAGAAGGAAGACCAATGTTTGTTGTGGATGGAACTGGTATAGGTGACACCGGTGACGATATCAATGGGGGTGTCAATGAATTATTAGAATCTGTTGATTTTACAATGAAAAATGAGATGTCTAAATTCAACGCCATTATTTTGGTCCATTACATTCACGAAAGGTCCCTAGTAAAGATAACAAGCTCTGTTCTTGCTATAAAATCAATTTTAGGACCAAATGTCTTTAAAAACTGGGGTATTATAGTAGTGACCTTTGGTGACCAATTTGACCTCAATAACCTCGATGAGAATATCCATTCATTTGAAGATTGGTGTCAACAACAAACTGGGTATTTCCAGATTTTACTTGAGGAATGTAACAACAGATGTGTCCTGTTTGACAACAAAACAACGGACAAAAACAAACAAATGGAACAAAGGAACAAACTCATGTCAGTTGTTGACAGCATGACTTACAAGTCATACACGATGTATGACTTTGACAGTCCTACATGTAAGCTTTTCAGACAACATCTTAGGCTCATTGAAGAAATTAATCTTAAATCTGATTCTTTTAATGGTAACACGACCAATCAGTATGAAGGCAACAAACATGACCTTGAACTCTTGGTTTCAAAACTATTGGAGCATAAACAACGTCTTGCTAAACAAGGGAAAGAAACAGAATTTACTAGACAACTCCTGTATCAAGTTACAGAAACTGCAACAAAGTTACAATTAAAAATAGGTTATTGTTTTATGGCAGGAGACAACACAATTACAAAATTTGTGAAAGATCTGTCTTTGTTAGCTGAAGAACCTCCATCATCACAATCACATTTTCATCTTTCACCGCCTAAGGATGAACTAAAAACTTCAAAACTATCAACTTCAGCGATTCAAGATGTTAAAAAATTCAATACCATAGATTCGTGCGAAAGAACAGAAGTAACTGGTAAGTCAAGGATTGAAAATGCTCACCAATCTGTACCAATCTTGTGGGTTAAAATTAACTATTAAAATTTTAAAAAATGACTTTACTGAACTAAAGACATTTTTAAAAAAAAAAAATCATTCCCATTTAAATAACTATTAAATGATGTATTTTAAAAGTTTATATTCTTGGTCAATTTGTTAAATTAGTCCTTTCTTTAGTTTTATCTAAACATTACGTTAACATGTGCTAACAAAAAGTTTATATGTCCTAACATATCGTTGATACAATTGCCAGCACAGTGCCATAAGTATTAGACGTCTAAATTAAGACAAAAGCAGTTTAAGTGCACACTGACTATTGGAAACTGAAATTTAACCACACTTAGTCATCATATGCAGTCTATATTAAAATCAACAATGAAACCAATCAGTCTTTCAAAATAAGCCCGCAAGGCAATGTCATCAAAAATATGACAAGACAATTTATCAGTTGTCCGGTTAAATAGATTGAATCTAAAAAATTATGTAAACGTTTTAAAAGACAAGTCAACAGGACTGTTAAATCTTTGTTAACGGAATTTGGGTAGCGACAAGATCACACTTGGCAAGTTGTACTTGGGATATGCGTGTTACAAGGTGGAATACAGTTGAGACCCATGGGCGCCCGCAGAAAACTTTCTAGGGGGGGGGGGGGCAAAAATTGTTAGTAATGTTTTAATGTAGTTTTAATTTTCTGTAGCGTATATGTATGGTGAACGAACGGACAGGACATCAGCTTAGTTNCAAGTGCCCCAGCTTTCCAATTAACGCAGCCCCCCATGTTGAGACCTAAAGTCTATTTGCATCGAGAAAAACACCTGACTCTGGAAAAAGTAAAAAAAAAAAAATACTATCATTAAAAAAATCACATTTTGGGGGGGGGGGCAGCCCTTCAATTAAAATTACTAGAGAAACAAATTTCAAATAAACGATGTACACAATTAAAAAAAAAATTCTTAATGCACAAAATTATAATTATTTAATCTACTCTTTCAGCCTCACACATAAATGCATTGTATAGATATAAATTGAACTATTTTTTTTTTATTGTTGATAATTTAACAATGCAGTGATGCCTTTACTAAATAATAATGTTTTAAAATTTGTCTTTAAGACTTGAAAGTACTAATTTTATAAAGTCAAAAAAAAAAAAAAGAAGTACATTTACATCAAAATCGCGCTTACCCATCACAAAAAGCGCTTTTCGTTTTTGGGAAGAATCAAAGATAATGTATAGTTGAAAGAAGAAATACAGTTATTTGTAATACTTGCCGTTTGGCCATAATATTTAACGAGGATTGCCTTGTGCGGCCGCTGGCCGTGGGTTGGTCATCCATGTTTTGAATTATTGTATAATAGTACGAAGCATATCTTAAGTCTAAAACTAATTAAAATTGGCATCGTACGGTTCTTTCTAGCTCAAATGGGATTTCAAAGAGTAATTACTCCACATGCAAATATCATATTTAACTCAGTTTTAATTTTTGTTAATTTTGATATTGCTCCCTTGCTACTTTTAATTTATTTATGTTTGTATTTTTTTTTAAAACTTATTAAGCTTTAATTCTGATTGTTTAGTCCGTTCAATGTTATTGCGATATTAATTTAAATTATGATTCGTACAGAAGCAGTTGACATTTCAACGTCAAATGATATTGATGGGCGCAAGGAATCAACCGACAAAAGGACCCAAAAACCTACAACAATAGATAAACGTGAGTTAACTGTTCAAGCAAACTAATTTTGTTAAATGAAACCTTTCAAGGATTTTTTTTCAAAAGTCGATTAAGCGGTGTCGTACATTAACAGACATACGGTTGTTCTAACACTGAACAATGCGAACAAAATGTTCGACTCTTCTCACATTGTTCTTGATATCAGATATCAAATTCCTGTTTAATTAGGAAATCCCATTAAAATCGGGCGGGGTTGGGGGGGGGGGCAATTCAGATTTGCGGGTGGCTAGTACCAGTGGCCAGAGCGTAGCTAAGGGAATAATGAGACAGATATCCCCGTGCCCCGTACTAAGGTTACGATGCCAAAATGGGTTGTAATCGTATATAAAAAATAATGGGTTTCACAATTAAATAGATATAGGGGGTTAAAATATTTTTTTTTTACCTTTGCGCCAAATACTAGAGTTGCTCCTGTGCGAAAAAGGGGCGGATGGATTGGTGCGTACAGTTTTTAACTCTTCTAAATATGGAAGGGTTGCATTTTAGAACTGCAGAATTTGTATTGTTTAAGGGAGGGCAGCATACGTATTGGCGCTAACTCACTAACAGGAGTTACCTCACTACGCAGTGTGTCTATCAGCTGTAACCGTAGTTACCTCACTACGCAGTGTATCTATCAGCTGTAACCGTAGTTACTTCACTACGCAGTGTATCTATCAGCTGTAACCGTAGTTACCTCACTACGCAGTGTGTCTATCGGCTGTAAAGGTAGTTAGTTACCTCACTACGCAGTGTGTCTATCAGCTGTCACCGTAGTTACCTCACTACGCAGTGTGTCTATCGGCTGTAAAGGTAGTTAGTTACTTCACTACGCAGTGTGTCTATCAGCTGTCACCGTAGTTACCTCAATATGCAGTGTGTCTATCAGCCCCGACCAGAGAATGCTATACTGTCATTTTTTCTCCTCCAGAAAGTAGAGCAAAAATTGAATGCACCAATGGCATTTGAACAAAGCTGGGGACTGGGGAATCAATATATTTGTAACATTTCAAAAACAAGAGGTTCAAGTCGCATTATACCTGAATTCAGTATTTCTATTAAACTCATTATGGTGCACAGTTCTATACATAAACAGAATTCACTCCGCGTAATCATTGGCATCATCTTAGTACTGTGACATTGATAGTCATGAAAGGAAAAAAAAAAGGGGGGGGAGGGTTGATTGGACATGTAGAAGGCTCTGGAGCAAAATATGGGTCAAGGGTCCCCTTAGAATATTCTTGATGAATTTAAAATTCAGGTGGGTATTTTTGCGCATATTTTATTTCGCATTTTCTTACAAACATTATGAGAGGGGTCATGTCAGACTTCGGGTGTAAGGCGCCAAAAGTAGCCATAGTATCAATCAGGGGCTTTCTACCTCCGCCCAAGCTCAACATGAACTGAACTTATATCTGTTGTGCAACCCTTAAGCTTTTTGCCCAAGCTTTGTCTCAAAGTTTCTTTCCTTATAGTCTTTATCTGTGGGCAGCAATAGATACTACTTACCAGCTAAGTGCTATTTCTTATTTTTATTTTTATACAGTTTTTTCTGTTGTTTTGTTCTCTGACGAAGGCTTTCTGCCGACACGTTCGCTGTTTTGTTACGTTTATTTTTTCAGGTTTAACCCTACTCTGTTTTACTCATTTTATTTTATCTAGCTCAACGTCCATGGGATCGAATACATTTAAAATTATGCTAATTACTATATTTTAAAAAAAAAACATGATGTCATCATTCTTTAATTAACACCTATCTCTACTTTAAAAGTCATGCTTATAAAATGAAATATACTTTGAAAACACATTGGACATGTTTGATACTAAGCAAGAAAACTTTTATCAAAATATTAAACCTTTATGTTGATGTGAACGTAGTTTAATTTCGTGTAATTTAAGCATTTAAACGTGTGCAGTTGCTAAAAATAAAAAAAAAACAGATAAAAAAGACCGATATATCTTTTAATTTCTTCCAGTATATCTTGGGGGGGGGGGTCAAGTGCCCCCACTCCTAGAGCAAAACGTGTACAACACTATAAAAATTCTATATTTTATATTAAAAAACGAGCAAATTGTCTAAAAACATTTTTTTAAAAATTAATATCTGGTGCCTTTAATCGATTACAATAAGTGGAATCTATGAAATAGTGCTACGCTCGATATATTTGATGATCTGTATGTTTAAAGCTTACCTTTTTAAGGCGTATATTAATCTATTATAAATATTGCACCACCTGCTCAAAATTATAAGCCGAATTCCCACTCTCCTTAGTTCACACATCTCGGTATTTTTATTCATTTCATTTTTTGCAACTTCGCAAGTTTACAGATTTAAATAGCACTGTGTTTAATTAGCTTTACAACAAATATACAGGTCTACAATTTTAATAATATTCTTGCTAAGTTTCAAACTTGCGCTATCTATTTTCAAATTATATTTCATCATAAAAGCGTGACTTTTAAAGTAGGGAATAGGCCTAGGGAATAGGCGTTAATTATACTTTGTATGGTGGCATTTGTCTTTAAAAAATATTTTTATTTGCATAGCTATAAACTTAGTCATTTCCATGTGTGTTGAGTTATAGCAAATGGAAACTTTAAAAAAAAAATGAGATACTGTCTTTTTCAAACTAAGAATTTAACGGGCGCATACAAAAAGTGCACATTTCATCAACTATTATATCGGAAGCGCTTATTCATTTTAATGTGCTACTTTTGTTACAATTTTTCCTGCCTGAATAACAGAGGTTAAAAATTACGTATAATTTATAATGCCCCACCTATTTGCAAGGATTTAAACAAAAAATAATAATAATTTTTTTTTCCTAGATAGAGAAAGTAGAAAAAAAAAAAGAAAATAAAGATTTTTGTGAACTAGCATTTCGATTATCCTGTCATTGCTTTAAAAAATAGTTTTGGTGCTAGCTTTAGAAAAAAAAATCTTACTCCTAATTTGTTGAATTTAAAATAAATTCTGTGGATTAGGGTTTTAAAAAAGCGTTTTAAAGTATATCCAAGAAACAATTTATAATTTATCTGAAAAAAAGTAAAAGTATAGATACAAATAGTTATTTCTATATACTGAATATTGGGAAATATATACTTTATATGAATACGATTTCCCTTAGATAAAATCACAAACTAATAAATATATAATGTCTTTTGTAAACAACTTAGTCTTCCAAAAAATATTTCATGACGTTCATATACGATTAATAAAAATGGCCAGTTTTCAAAGCATATAAAAATGTTTTCACCTTTCTAATAAACAGTTTTTTTAAAACTATTTTTGACTCTGGTAAAATTTGGAAATATTTAGAAATTGTAGTCTAATTAGTATAAGTAATTTTTTTCACCATATGCGTTCAGCATATGAAATAATGTTTGCAGTGTTTTTGGTGATTGAACACTTTTTTATTTTTTGTTGTTATTGTTTTGTTGAAAATTCATTTCTTAATTAAGTAGCATTCCTTCCCCACACCCAAAAAAATGTAAATAAAAATAAAACCATGGTACTATTTTTTAGTAATATCCAATTGTTGTCTTTGCATAACACAAACGGGTCAAGCACTTTTCCGTTTTACCCCCCCCCCCATTTTTCCCAACTTGCATTAAAAGATGATAATTATGAAAGTATCCTCATCATATCTTAAAAACCCCTCAAATATCCGAAGCATCCTGAATCGTCAGGTTTGCTGGGGGCGCACGGTTGTTCCAAGGTTAGGTGGCACATACATTTTTTAACTAGGGTATCTTCCTTTGCATTCCAATTACGTGCAGATTTTTGCACCTAAATTCAGGTATGGGATAAAATGCATTCTTGTAATTTTAATTTATCGAAAAATTCTGGGGACTATCAGGTTTAAGGGGCAACATAAATCTGGGACAAAATTAGAATAAAAACAGTTTGCGTCCCACTGGTGCGCAATTTAAGATGTCTTTGATCATTATTCTGGCTAATTTTGGCACTTCCCACCCGAAAGTTTGAAATGCAACCCCAAAATTATCTGAAAGAAAAAAAAATCAAGTTGGCGCCAAAAAGAACCCGTGCAATTTGAGTTTACGCGACTGTCTTTAGCACCCTTAATTTCTGCATCTGCTGCTAATTACTGGTACAGTATGGGGTAGATTACAAGCTTGTGCCAAATGCTTACATTGGAGCACACCACAAACGGAGTAAATTCAGTTCATGTATAGCACTTGGCGCCATAATGCCTCCCACGGAACCTTAATAATGTCTTTCCACGTTAAAAAATTATAATAGAAACTTTGAATTAGTATACTCAAAAATACACCTCTTGATTTTGAAATAATTAAATAATGTCAAAGCCCATTTTGCCACCCCCAGCTAGTCTTGCACCTCGGAAATATGCCCCATCTGCCACCCTTAACTACGCTTCTGGCTACTTGCAAATGGCTCAACCCTTACCCCCCCCCCCCTTACCGAAAATTGCCCCACCCTTACCCCCCCCCCCCCCTTACCGAAAATTTGAAATACCCCCACAGCCGGGGAAAAATGTCTGACAGAAACACTGATCAGGAGAGAATAATAATTTCAACAGTAAAATATTTATAATCGAACAGTGTAAGCAACTAAGAAGATTTGCCTTAAATGTCTGGATTCAAATGAATATCGAGCATAGCGATAGATACTTCACAGATTCCAATCATTGTGTTCGATTCAAGGGACCCGTTAGTTTTCTTTTTTAAAATGTTATAGATGACATTTTAGTAGTTTTTTATAAAATAAATTTTAGTTTTATTCTTGTACACATTTATTACTGGGGGGGGGGGGGGGGGGGAAAAGGGGGGTGACTTTTTTTGGGGGGGGGGTGGTCTTTCCCCCCCCCCCACCCCCCCTGTTTTGAGGGGGGGGGGGGGGGAGGGTAAAGAGCAGTTGACTTTCTCTGAGGGAGGTACTGTCTTACCCCCCCCCCCAACCCCCCACAGGATGCCTGAAAGAAACCATCTTCAATGCACTCTGTT